ATTTAGGGAGCAGATACAGATTTCCCTCTTCATTTCATTCCAGCCATAGTCATTGATTCAGGATTGGCTTAGAATAGTCCAAAGGAAGTATTTTTTTGTTCATTTTTGATTTTTTTTTTCTTTTGTTGTCTTTTTTTTCTCTTCTAAGAAAAAGAATTTTTTTTTTAGTGTCTCCCTAACCAGGCCCTTATCAGAATATATGTAACCTACTTAGTGAAAAATCAAGACTTTATGAGGTATCTATCTCTTTCTGTAGCAGATTAACAGTTTTTAAAGTGTTAGTTACTTTAGGAGCTCATATGCAACTGAATTCATATTTATTGGGTAACCAAGGGATTGGTGGGAGGTGGTACCTTTGGCTGATGTCCTGAGGGCAGCCCTTTATTCTTTGTGTGCAGTAATCAATTTATCTAGGATAAGGTGGCAACAACCACATTCCCTTTAAAACTGAGGGAAGGAGTACCCTCCTCCATGGAATGAGCTTATTTTCCTGTTTGTTTTTCCCTGGGGTTGGATGTAGACGTGAAATAAACATCCTCCTCTTCTGAAGTGAAGATGGTTGTATTTCTTAAAAATTGGGTTTACAATAAGAATCATTATTACCTCATTCGTTAATTGTTTGGCTCTGTTGCCCAGGCTGGAGTGCTGTGGCATGATCAAGACTCACTGCAACCTCGACCTGCTGGACTTAAGCAATCCTCCCACCTCAGCCTCCCGAGTAGCTGGGACTACAGGCACACACCAACATGCCTGGCTAATTTTTAAAAAAAAATTTGTAGAGATAAGGTCTCACTAAATTGCCCGGGCTAGTTTTAAACTCCTGAGCTCAAGGGATCCACCAACCTCATCCTCCCAAAGTGCTAGGACTACAGGCTGGAGGCACCACACACAGCTCATTCATTCAGTTTTGATTAGGTCCTTACCATTTGAAAAGGTACTTGAAAAATCCACCTAAGGGAAGTAGGTTTTTGAGTATGCAAAGCATCACAGAATCTAACTTAGAAGAGGACCGAAAGCTATCCAGTTCAGTCCCCGATTCACCCTGCATTAAACTTCCAGTTTAAGGTTGCCTTATAAAATTCGGGAGTGCTGATTAAATTTGCATTTCCAATAAACAAGGTACTTTTCACTATAAGTATGTACTGAATGTTATTGGGGAACATACTTAATTGGGACATAGGAAGAATACTTAAAAAAAATTCTTGTGAGGCCAGGCGCGGTGGCTCAAGCCTGTAATCCCAGCACTGTGGGAGGCCGAGGCGGGTGGATCACGAGGTCAAGAGATTGAGACCATCCTGGTCAACATGGTGAAACCCCGTCTCT